AAGTTACAGCGATAGTATAGCCTCATCTCTCCCCTCACAAACCCCGCTCAGTGTTTGAACAACACAACAAGTTACAGCGATAGTATAGCCTCATCTCTCCCCTCACAAACCCCGCTCAGTGTTTGAACAACACAACAAGTTACAGCGATAGTATAGCCTCATCTCTCCCCTCACAAACCCCGCCCAGAGTTTGAACAACAAAACAAGTGGGTGCTTGAAGGGATACACTGGTAGCCCCAACTTTTCAACTCTCGTTTTCTAATTTTGATCTGGCTAAATTACTTCTCCCTCGCACTAAATCGGTGTGTGCCTGGAGAAATCGTCCAGTTTTCAGCAAAGCTTTTTTTGAGTAACGGGGTGAAAGTGAAAAGGCAAAAAAAATTGTACTGTTAAAATTTTTGTTCTATCCGAAAGCACAGTTAAACCATTTCTTAATAGCATACTGAAAGGATTTTATAATATTTTAAGTCTCAATATTTGTTTTATTACTTTTTTTGCAGCATGTTGTACTTCATCAAAGTAAAATGTGCTAGAAATTGGGTTTTTCTCTAAACATTGTATTGACACCCAATGTCAATAGTAAACAACTGAAACAGGAGAAGGAATTTAAATATCTTGGCAGCACTTTTTCTGAAAACGGGTCTATAGGCAGAGAAATAGAATGCGAACTCAAAAGGCCAACGCTGTCACCTACCAGCTCGTACCCCTCATATCTCATCCAAACATCTCCATGGACACAAAGTGACAGCTTATCACCTCAATATTCATACCAACATAATGTTATCAGTGCCAGACCTGGACCTTAAGCAAAACCCATGAAAGCAAAATCACCGCATGCAAAATGAAATGTCTCCGCAAAACCCTTAACATCACAAGATGAGACAGGCAGAGAAATGAAGAAGTAAGAGCAGCTATCGGTACTGAGTCCTGCCTGCGTTATAGTTATATATAGAAAGACAGAGGATAAAATGGTTTGGCCACCTGTTACGCAGGTCACTACCAGCCAGCCTCTAGAGCCTACAACACCAAGCACTCAGGCTATAAAGGAAGAGGAAGGCCACGCAAAAGGTGGATCGAGGGTGTCAAGGAAACCCTAAAAAAACATAACATCACAACTGAAAGAGCTGTGGAGCTGGCCTACGCTCAACGGCAACAGAGGATGAAAAAGTAAAAGTAAAGTTACAAAATGTAGCATATCTTTAAAAGTACTTGAGATATTTGAAAAATGTTTTTATCAGCGTATTCAGCATTGTATTGGCTACAAGAATAAACCCTATTTTAATCAAAATTTTTGACAACTGGAACCTCTTTCCAGGCACACACACAAATGATCATTATCGAATCAATGTGCTTCTCTTTACTCAGATAAGGAAAGAACAAACAAAACCAAACGTTGCAGTCAAGGACAATAATTTATTTGAGTTCTTGGGGTGTACATCGTCAAGGAGCAGAGTTACAGTTCAGATCACAATAATTTTGGCATCACAACAGTTCTAGAGAAACCCGAACAAAGCTCACAATATCACAAGATTTGACATGACAGAAAAAGAAAAAAAAATTCTCGCTTCACTGCTTCAGTAATTTCTCCTCTTTTTCCTCGTAAGTCTCATTTAGCTTATGCATTTTCTGCCACATATCATTCATGAATACCACACAACAACAGATAGCCAGAGCACACCAGTGTACAAAAGTATACTGATGTGTGAATTAACTGATTCAGCCCGCAGCTCCACTCACAGTGGCTGACTCTCTTGCGTTTTGACGCAGAGTCGCTCAAAGCAGCTCTTATCTATTGCTCCCTTTTCTTTGCATCATTTTCCTCTTTTCTATTTTCATTACCACTTACATTTCAACCCTTTTTTTCTGGTGTCATTGAATTGTATTTTTTTTTTCTGAACATTTCTATATGCCACACATAGGGTTTTATCAAATTTAGATATTTCTTTACTAATTTTTTTTGTGAGACCACCCGTGAGGTCACGAAGCGGTCACAAATTATTTGCATCTGGAGTCAAAATTATCTGTGGGCTGAATCAATTAAAAACCTAACAAATTATTATGCAAATCAGGGTAAAACTGACTTTTTCAGAGTAAATGTAGCCTGTACTTGTAAAAAGTAATTTAAGAAACAAGAAAACGTAGCCTGTGTGTGTCAAAATAAAGATTTGCCACAAGCAGACATAGATAGACCAAAATAGAAAACACAATGCAAATAATGACTTGTGAGTCACCTATAGTGTAGTGCAGAGTTCAGCTGTACATCAGACATGACTTTTTGATATAGTGGTAACGTCACGCAAGCTAACACAACATGCTACCTAGCAAAGTAAACGACTCAAGTCTTTAAGTTACAAATGATACAAAACAAATTAAAAATAATGCTCCTTTTTAAGAATGAAAAGTCTAGGGCATCAAGTAAGTAGGTAGGCCTAAACAACACCTAAACATAGCTGGTGTCTGTATGAATAAATAATTCCTGGTTATATGGAAGGTAAGAAGGCATATATAAATATTATAATTTTTATAAGCATGTATAGAAATCAATGACAACATAAACAGGGATCTCTAGAACAAAGATTTATTGCACAAAATGAAAGTAATACTATGAGTTTACCTTCCATCCCAATCTGTTAAACTTAAACAGAGACAGCATCCTTCCCAGTAGTTACCCCCACATTACACTATTAAATACAAATAAATAACACATGACAAAATTACTTCAAATAAGTACTAGCACTTATTACACAACCAGAATTATACGTATAACGGTAGAGTGAGAAATTTTCAGTAGACTTTTCTACTAGCGCTACTTACAAAACCAGAATAATATGTGCACAACAGTAGACAGAGAAATCTTAATAATAATAATAATAGATAGCATTTGTATAGCGCATATCCCCGCTCAGCAGCAGGCTCTATGCGCTTTACACTATATTATTACCCCAGCAGACCATAGAACACTCCGAAACATTCTCAGCTTCCCGGGAAGCATACATCTTCACTAGACTGTCCTACTGTACCTCACACAAATAAATTTTCAGAAATATAAAAATTCTAGGTAATGATTGATTCAATGCCCCTCTCCACACAGTAAGGTTGTGACATAGGCTGGATCTTGAAAGGTAGCTCCACCTTGGCTCCCTCTCAGGACATCAGGCCAAGAGGAAGGAAAAAGAAAAAAATATTAATTTGAACAAAACTTGGTTTGAACCTGAAGCTCCCATGAGGCACACATAATGTGTAACCTCCTACACCACGGCAGGCATCAACTCTTAAAAAACACAGATACACCATAAAAAGTGAGAAAAAAAAAGTCACTTTTTATTCATTTATAAAAGACTAGACAATTTTATCACATAACAACTGAACACTGGGGTATAAATAAGCATTAAACAGCTAAATACAAAACAGCTTGTATTAAAACCACAGGCTGCACAAGCTGACATCTCTGTCCCAGACCTCAAAAAACAGTGAGGAGGAGACAAAGAAGACAGGATGAAACATCATAGTTCCACCCGTCTGACAATTCCACTCCTTCTGAACATCTAGGAAAACTACAGTCCTTTTTTAATACTGCTGAGACTAGCACTGTACTCTACCTTTAGATTTTTGGACGAGTCAACTTCCTGTTTCCCGATCAGTCATTGTTTGACCATTGTGCCGAGCCTTAGCATCTATAAAAAAAAACCCTGCAGATTGACAGTCTTCCTTTCAAATTTATCAAGGTTTCTTAGAGCTTAGAGCCCAACTGTATATTGAAGGTGTTTGTATCCCTCAGACTATATATAGGGTGTTTACATCCCTTGCACAATGGATAAAGTATCCCTCAGACAATAAACACATACGTCATAGAAGCCCTCGGACAAAGGATACATATGTCAAAGAATTCCTCCAACAGAAGATAAATATGTCAATATATTTCTCAGAAAATGGATACGCACATCAAAGTATCTCTCAGACAATGGATATAAATAACAAAATATCCCTAAGACAATGGATATATATATAAAAATGTCATAATATCTTCAGACAAGAGATTGTCAAAGTACCCCTCAGACAAATAAATATACTTTAGGTCAAAGTATCCCCAAGACAAGAGATTATCGAAGTATCCCTCAACTTGGATTGTTGAAGTATCCCTCACACAATGGATTATCAAAGTCTCCTTTAGACCATGGACATATATGTCAAAGTATCTTTTAGACCATGGAAACATGCCTCAAAGTTGCCCTCAGACAATGGATACATATGTCAAAGTATTCCTTAGAAAATAGACACAAATGACAGAGTATCCCCTAGACAAGGGATTATCAAAGTATCCCTCTAACAATGGATACATATGTCAAAATACACCTCATATGATGGATACACATGTAAAAGTTGCCCTCCCTCAAACAACATGGATATTTGATTCCCTCAGACAATATGGGTATTGGATTCCCTCAGACAATGTAGATCTGTGATTCCCTCAGACAATGTAGATCTGTGTGGCCGCCGAGGACTGGACCTCGATCTGCCCCAGTTTGAACTGGATCCGCTTGAGCCAGGACAGCAAGATGGCCGAGTTGAAGGAGGTCTGGTCTTTGGTCGGGTGCGGCGGTTCCCAGTTCTGACACGTCTGCAGGCGCACTTGGAGGTGTCCGGGTAACTGATCACCGGGGGACGGAAGAACATGAATCAGAGTGTGAGTGTGTGTGTGTGTGTGTGTGTGTGTGTGTGTGTGTGTGTGTATGATGTGTGTGTATGATGTGTGTGTGTATATGATGTGTGTGTATGATGTGTGTGTGTATGTGTGTGTGCATGTGTGTCTGAGAGAGAGAGTGTGAGAAAGAGAGAGAAAGAGACAGAGACATTAAGAGAGAGAGGGAGAGAGAGACAGACAGGCAGACAGACAGACAGACAGACAGACAGACAGAAAAAGAGAGGGAGAGAGAGAAAGACAGTGAAAGATCTTTTCAGTCTGTTGGCGTTTAAGCACTTAATCAGCTGGTTGCACTATAAGCTTCCCGGGAAGCTGAGAAAGAGTTTCTGAGTGTTCTATGGTCAACTAGGGTAATAATACAGTGTGTAAAATTCATAGAGCTTGCTGTCAAGCGGGCATATACGCTATGCAAATACTATTTACTGTTATTATTGTTATTACAAATTGTTCACACTCTATAAAAAGGAGTCCACAAAAAATTGACACAATTTCATAGATGTGTCCACAAGCCCTGATAAAATAAACACATTTTGTTTATTTCTCAAAATGTTTAATTTAGAACAATATTTGCTCCTACTCTTTGTGCACAAAATATGTCACTCCTTACGACAAATGGTTCCAAATACAATGTATGTAGATGTAGCCACCCAGTATTTTTGAGGACATTAATTGTTTATGTTCTTTTAAGGACTTTTTAGGTTATTTTTTATACATTGTTATGTTATTTTTTTAAACAGTTTTTATATCTCAAACAGAGGAGCAGACCATCTTGTAGTACCCTATGTGGCATTTTCAATAAAGTACATGTAGTGTGCAAGCTTCAACTCTCCAAGGACACAGTGGTGTGCACACATATGCCCAATCAGCAGCAGACCAAAGGTATTGCTACTGCAGGTTTCAAACCATCAGACACACATCAAAAACTTGAGAAACACAAATTTGTATATTTCATAGTGTGCAAGTTGCCTGCCATAGTGTGCAAATAGCCTGCCATAGTGTGCAAGTAGCCTGCCATAGTGTGCAAGTAGCCTGCCATAGTGTGCAAGTAGCCTGCCATAGTGTGCAAATAGCCTGCCATAGTGTGCAAATAGCCTGCCATAGTGTGCAAATAGCCTGCCTTTTTCATGTTCTAGATAAAGAAAAACCTGAGTAACAAAAATTAGCTTTTTTCTTTCATATCCCCAAAACGGGAGGTCTTCAAGCATTGTCAGAGAACCAGACTGCATCAATATATCCTCAGTGAGCTAATCATGATGTTGTTTGACAAGGTAAAACAATTACCTGTGCATGGTAGGCAAACAGAATTGACGTCCACATCGGGAACAGCTGTGAAGAAGGAGAGTTTAGTTTAGTTTTAGTAAGAGTTTTACGGCACTTGCAACACATTAAGTGCCGAAGATTAGAGGTGTTACAAGAGAGTAACAAACACAAAAAAGAAGGAGGAGAGATAAAGACGATACATGTTTGATAGGAAAGAAGAAGCAAACCCCACCAGAGCACCCGCCAACCACCCACGAAGAAGGAGAGAAAAACAAAAATATTCAAAAGGTTACAAAGGCTGCTGTGAGTGGCATTCTTCAAAGGATCCTCCCCCTCAGCTCAACAGAAGGGGAAAAATATCCCTCTCACTAAAGGAAACAAACACCCCCCCTCCTTCAGTGTAAAGGAAGGCCCCTCCCCCTCCAAAAAGACTCCTGAATACACTGCCACACCCCCCTCCCCCTTTTCTTTAAACAATATAAACAGTTGAAGTCCCTTCCTCAACACAGAAAACAATGTTTACAAACAAAAACAAACACATCAAACAATCCTAGGAACAATAGCCTACATGGTCAGCAAACTCTCCCTAAAGACAAATAACCTTTTTTTTTTTAATTTAAAAAAAACAACAACAAAAAACCACCCAGAGAAAACTCTCCAACACGCAGGCAGGGCAGGGGATAGAACAAGTTCCAACTGTTACCTTGGCCAGCACTGAAGAGTTACACTCCTGTAGAGCTTCCATCAGACTCAAGAAATGCAGGTTCACCATCTCCGCCAGCTACAAGGACAAACACAGATTGAGTTTTGTTAAATTAACGGTTTTACAGCACTTGCAACACAAAAAGGTCATATATAGTTGCCGAAGATTAAAAGTGTTACGAGCAATATACTAAAATTTTTAAAAAGGAGGAAAGATAAGAATAATAAACAATTTAAAGGAAAGAAGGAGCAAACCACACTAGAGCACCCACCAACCACCCACACACAGATTGATAGTTAATACCTAACACCCCCATATCAAACAACACAGGTGTAGGAATCCCTAGCAATATTGGTTTGCTGGGGAAAGGAATAACACCCTGATACAAAAATGGTCATTCAAAGTAAGACTGATAGGCAAAAACAACAAGGGAAAGAGTAATGAAATACGGCCTACCAGTGGTGCCCTCCAACAACCCACAAACCTAGCTATACAGCTTTTAGAATACATAATTACAATACAGAACCATCTCTTCCCGAACCCCCCTTTTTCCTCTTTATTCCAGAACAAATACCGTACAGACAATAAAAATAAACCAACCCATTCAATAATTGTACCATGTTGGGTTAGTATTGAGTGGTATGAATGCCTCCCCCAACCCCTTACACACACACACACACACACACACACACACACACACACACACACACACATACACAGACACACACACAAACACACACACAAATACATCCTCCATCAATAAGAATAAATCATCGCATTTCCTTGTGCACTCTAAACAAAAGAACAAGGTGGAAGGAAGCAGTTTTGGGCCTCACAGTATTTAGTCTATTAAAGCAGAGAAGTCGACATTGAATGTCCTGACAACAAAAGAAAGGCTCAATTTTTCTGACGTTGCCTTAAATCAACCAATTTCTTGAGTGACATTGATCAAGGGTTGCTGTCGCTTTTCATAAACACAGACCTAAACTTAATTTTTTTTAAAACAGAGAACAGAAGAAAAATATGCCACAAGGCAGGGGGAAAAAATGCCACCTAGTTTTTTAATAGGATGTTGTGAACACTATCAGAAGCACTAAAATGTTGTTTTTACAACATGATCTACTTTTTAGACTACTTAGTATTACTCATGTGAAAGGAAAAAGAGTAAAGATTTTTTAAAAACTACATTTTTAACACAATCAAAAAGAGGTACCATTTTTCTTCATCACCAAATAAGAATGAGTGAAGCACTGCATCATGACAGACAGCCAGGGATATTTCATACCATAATTTTCCCATGAGGGAATTGAGCTCGCAGTCTTCTGCTTCCAACAGCTAAAAATTTAACCATGACACCGCAGGTACCAGCGGGTAAAGATGTTACAATAAAATGACATAAAAATGGACAAAAAACCTGTTCCCTCTTCAAGACATCGTACAAATGATGATGAGCATTTTTTGCAGTTCACAGACAGGTCTAACTTTCATCCACATCTCCTTCACAGCTGATCTGTCATCACCCAAGCTAGAAATATGTCTTAGAGAACCGTATTATATTGAGTCTAACACAGATATAACTGATTAAAATATCTCCAGATATCCACAGATCCTCACTACTAAAAAAATAAACATATTTCAAGCAAAACGACAATTTACAAATTTTAACCCTAATTTGATGTCGCAAACTTCCTTAATAAATTCTTTCACTCAATACTTCACATGAAGTATGATAAAGCCTACACACATAAAAGATACAAAGTAAAATACAAGTATTTTGGCTAATATTGAAATAAAACCTGAGCTAATGCAGAAAACATTTATCAATTTGTGTTTTTACAAAAGGGAGTGAATGTGCTCACAAATGACAGATTTGTGAATATTCTCAGTACACACTACACAGCCAAGTGAGGAGAAAAGGAGACACTTGAAAAGCAAAATGAAAAAAAAATCTCTCCATTCAGCTGCCGACCGACTTTTTAAATAATTGAAAACGATTCATCCCCCCATCAACACAGTCGGGATACTTCAGGAGGCAGGTTGCTGTTCACCCCGTCGTGTCAGTCAGGGCTGACCATTGTTGAGACGGATACAGCATCCACGCAGACATTTGTTTAGTTTTAGTCAGGTTTTACGGCGCTCACAACTGCATAAGGTCATATGAGTGCCAAGGGGTAGATGTGTCAACAGAGAAGTCCAAACGGGGAATCCGGCTTACTCTGCTCACCTCTCTAGCCTCAAAAGCACAAAGTCTGCCTCGACTATCAAGGCATCCCGGAAATAGCAGTTCACAAGAGAGTGACAAACATACAAAAGAAGTAGAGGAAATACGACGATAGTAAGGATGAGGAAAGAAAAAGCAGCAGTTCCCCTTATGTTGTTCCGGCACAGTATGAGCATGACATTGATAAATCAGCCCATTTACAATTCTACTGTGCATAGGAACACGATAATACCCCCCTTTGGGAATGGTCTAAAGACAACTTCAGTCAGTAGCACTGCCCTGGTGGGGGGGACCAAGCAGACAGACAGAGGACAAGATGAAGTAAAATCCCCACACAGGAAATAAACACACGTCTTCTTGGTAAAATGACCAAAAAAAAACAACCATTCTACAACAGATGCAGGTAATCAATTACATATATATATAGAAGAAACTAAGCAAACAAAGAACTAATATTGAGTTGACACATGTGGCCCATCAACATGATCATGGTGACGTTTCACCACAGAGAGAAAAGAACAATTGCAACACTGACAAAAAGTACAGAATCAAACTACATTTCACAATCTTAATCCTCTATGATTCCACAGACTGAAACATAAATCATGAATGGAGTGAATTTTCAAGAAATAACACAGATAAAAGAGCTATTGTGGTTTAAAAGCACATGTATGTGAAGTGAATGGACATCGATATTGTGCTACAAAAAGATGGTGCTTTCTACCGACAATGATGTGACCCACGTTGGTTAAAATAGTAATATCGTGGTGCTCTACATCCATCGAGAGACTCATACTGGGCTGGACCGAAGCTATATAACTGTGACACTACAAATGAGTTATAAACATCTTATAAATGAATAAATAAATAAATAGGCCTACAATTAAAGAAAAAATATGATATAAATAAATAAATAAACAAATAGATTTTTAAAAAATTTTCAAATTATATATATTAGTACATATATTATATATATACATAATGACTGTAATAGACCACTCAGTCTGAGCAGAGAGAAACAGATCAACAAAAAAACAGTCTTATTGTGCTGGAAAACAAGAACACAGAGAGACGGAAAGACAATCCTTCTTTCTGCCTGCCTAGGGGGCACTTGTCAACTTTATCTTAGTGCTTTTTACCTTGAATCAACAAACAATAACTACACATGTTTGATGAGAACCATTCTACAGAGACTTACACATAAAGAAAAAAGTATCTGTGCAGCCATTGACAGTTCACAGTACAGAGAGATGGAGAACTCTCAAATCATGAACCAGCTACTCTCTGTACCTGAGTTGATGAAACCGTTGTCACAAGCTCAACATACCAAAGACAATATACTACAAGAATACTTATAGAAATCAACAAGACTTTTTGTCCAACAGGTGTGGGGAATCAGACAGTAGGATGACAGCTAAAAAAACCCTGCAGAATTAAATAAAATGAAACATTTTGTTACTCTCTACTGAAACTCAACAAGTTGATGAGGAGACCCTGATGCCTGTCATAAAGAAAAAAAACTGTTTAGGAAACTTCAGAGTACAATATACACAAATTATTTCCCGAACTGGATTAAATGAATTCTGAAAGGGTGGCCTGGACCAGCCACAGAAGTTCCTAAATGTGTAAACCGTTGATGAACAAACAGAACAAGAACGGCGCTGACTAGACTTAAAAACCAGTACAAAGTTGAACAAATTCAACTAGAAAGAGTTATAGAGCTGTGCACATCATTGGTGAAAAAAAACAACAACAGGGTGGCATTTAGTAGATAAAGAAAACACCACTGATCTGTGTATATCCTTGGTGAATAAATAGAACAAAGGAGGCATTGACTTGATTTTAACAAAAAACAATAATTGTGCACACCATGAGTAGTAGTAGTAGTATAGGGTTTTACGGCTCTCGCAACTGCGTGCGCCATGAGTGAACAATAAAGCTATTTACACCATTGCTGAAAAAACAGACAAGGGTGGCATTGATTACTTAAAAAAACAACCAATAACTAAAGAGCTGTGCATACCACTGGTGAACACACAGAACAAGGGTAGCATTGACCGGATTATAAACTATTTTTGTTTGTTTTTGTAAAGTGTTTTACGGCGCTCGCAACTGCATAAGGTCATATGAGCGCGCTGGACACACCTAATATTTTCAGTTGGTAGGAAATTTTGAATTTTGCGCAGGTGGCGGCCGAAGCCTACTCTTATTGATTTTAGACCACCAAGGGATCTTTAACGTGCGCAACTTGCACACGGGCCCTCCGAGATTTTTCGCCCTTGTCCAAGAAGGCTAGGTGTAGATCTTTCCTACCAGAAGATCAGGGGTGTGGCAGAAAGACAGCAGTAGATTCTAAACTATACAACTGAGCACACTATAGCTGAGTAGAGCCAACAGATGAACAACCAAAGCTCCAGTTGTTAATAAACCAAACACATCCTACCCACTGGAAAGTGAACAAACACATTTCATACTAAACAAGCCCATACAAAGAACAGCACTATCCAAATCTTGAACAACTACATTCAGATTTGACTCAGGTGACTGTCTTCATCTCTACAGAAAAAATTCTGGAAGCAGCTGAGAAAAGAAAACTACAGACAGGAACCAATTCTAAGTGCACTGTGCAGACAGTTAGTAAACAAAGAACAAAAGTGGAACTTTCTTGATTAAAAAACAAAAACACTTATGAGCTGTGCACACCATTGGTGAATTTGCAAAAAAAATCTTTGAAACATCTGGAAACAACATCCATTTCTACTGGACACGAATGATCAAATGATGACATCACACTGAGTTAGCTGAACCGTGAGGCTAGGCTGTACACACATCTTTTACTTTAAATAAATGAATAAATAAATAATAAAATAAAATAAATAAATAAATAAACAAATTAAATAAATAACACAACATGAAAGAAGCCGCCGTTGCATTGCGTGACGGAGAAGGTCCCACGTTAACTCTCACACCTCTCAATAGGTTTGAATTGCACAAACAAAAGGGGTCTTCAAAAAGAAGGCAGAAATTAGTGTTGTTAGTCTCATGTTACTGACTTTAGAGTATGCACCTGCAAAAAAAAAGACAAAGTAATCCCCCCACCCCACCAAAAAAAAAAGAGGATGGGCTTCTTTCATAAACAGCACATAGATCGAAGTACAAATCTAAGATGTGTGACAATCTACAGCAAACCTCGAGAATAGGCTTATCCTTGTGGAGGGAAGGGTTGGCGCGTCGATCAAAGAGAAAACATCATTGATTTCACTTTAGCGTTCTCAAACAATCATCAAAATGTACTCACTACACTCACATACAATGCATATATTTGCAATCAATAAAGGGACAAGATACTGTTGACCTCAAAACAAACAGAATTGGAAACACAGAGAGAGAGAGAAAAAAAATATCGCTATTTCTGCATTTTTTTAAAAATAGAGAGAGCATAAAATAAAAAACAATTTTATGCTGGAACCGGGGCACCGAGGTGGGTGGTCACCCGTGCAAAGACCTTGACCCAGACACGATAACCCTGGCTTTTGAAAAGCAGGGCTGCATAGCGGCAACCAGCAATGGTGTACTGTCTGTCTGTATAGGTGTGATATTGTATATTCCATAACACTGAAAGATTATTATTAACATGTATCTATGAATGTTTGTAATGAAAGCCATTGTAAACTAGATTTCCTAGCGACAACCAGTATACCTGGAATTAAATCCGTTTGTCATTCATAAGGCCTTTATGTCTATTAAGTGTAAACTGCTTTCTTATTTCAAATCTTGACCTGTACACAACAATAAAGAAGTCTGCTCACGATGCAATAGTCCATGTTTACGGCAATGTAAAAATTTGCCTGACAGGCACCTTCAGACAGGACCTCACCCCATTGATTGCTTTTCTGCACACAGTGTGAGGTGTAAGCCCGATGGATAAAAGAACTCTCAAATGCTTGCTTACACATTTCTAAAAGCTACAGATCTGCACTATTTCAGAATATTATGGTTCCAACCATCACATTTCGGTTATTTAAAATACTTTGTTGAATAGACCTTGTTCAAAGAGTAAGCTATTCCAACAAAAGAGGCATCAAATGTTAAGTTCAGACGGTGGTGTGGTAAAAATGGAAGAATGGCACTCAGTGGAGAAACACACCAGAGCTCCTTGGGAAGATGATAGTTATGCTCTTATTTGACAAACAGCAGTCATAGACTTTCAACGTTAGTTGAGTCATCTTTCTTCACTTACTGCCTGCTGAATTTTTAACTTCAAACAAAAAAGTTTTTTTTTCTTCTTTTTCATGATCCAAATGGATAAATCTCTCATCTAGAGCCTATATCAAGATTGAACGAGCAGAACTTTCTCTCTACCCAAAATTGAATCCCTGCAACATATGATGAGAGGGCTACAATATTGATGTAAATTATTTGTCATAATTTTCAGTAAATAATTTTTTAACAACTTTCTATGTTCATGTCTTTTCCTGACTCAGATCATTATGACATCTGTTTCACAACTTGATATTTGTTGCCTCATGTACATACTTTTATGACACACGATAGACCACTGTATAAAGAAGGCTTCCACAGATTTTGGCTCTTGACTGACTCAGGCAAAGATGGCAGCTCTCTGAAGTCAGCGTAAGTAAGAGCAGCGCAAGTCATCTCAGTAATGACCACCACGACAAGGTGGTTCCTGGACTGAGGACAGGACCGGTCGAGTGACGCTTACAGAGAAGTCTGACGAGACTTACCACTTTCGAGTGCGACAGCAGCTGCAGGATGCCGGGAGTGACCCGGGCCCAGAAGTCCATGATCATCGCCGAGGCCATCAGGTGCTGCTCGCTGCCAGGGGAGTGAAGCGCGGCCGCTGACTCGCTGTACATTGTCCACAGCTGTGAAGACAGGTGTGTGTGTCCAGGGGGGGGGGGTGTGGACACACATAGAGAATAATCCAAATCTCAGGTACAGAAATATACAAAGAATAGCCTACTTAATAACTGTCTCTTGATCTCCGAAAAATTACAAACAAAAAAAGGAAATAATGGAAAGATAAAAAGCAAACGACACCCATTCACCGCTCTCAGGAACAAAGAGATAGACAGGATAAGGCTGGTTCTTTATATACAATAATACTGAGATTTATAAAAGCAAACTTATAATAGCTGCATAATTCTCAAACACAAAAAAATTCATATTTCATTTCTTATACAAGAACAAAGTGTGTAAGTCATCGTATCTGATAAGCAATGTTTAAAAAAATAAAAACCAAGCAGTCCCTCTTCTAAATAAAATGAATTGTATTGATAGGGGCGTAAATGTAAAATGTACAATTATTTTTGGGGGAAGGTGTATGGGGAGGTGAGGGGGTGGGAAAGAGACTGCTCACTTAAAGAACAAAAACTCTTCTCTGAGAAAGTTTAGACTCACCTGACACAAGATGAAGGCGTGGAACAGCGAGGACATGTGGAGCACAGAGGCCTGGGGAATAACACACAGAAGGCATCATACATTTCATCATTTGTGTCACGACGTGGTGGTATCAGGTTCAGGTGCTCATCAATTTTTTGGCATATGGGGTTTTTGGTATCATCTTAAAGCCTGTTCACTTGCCTTCCTTTTGGTCAAAGAAATATCCATCTATCTTGAATAGAAGACGAAATATTTGCGATTGAGGGAGGTTAGGGTTGCCTAGTGTCAGAGGTAAAATTGGCTAGAAAATGGCCGCCAAAGTTTCGTGATTTCCAAAGCTTGAGAGTCCTTAGAAACAAAAAATTTACATATTTGTGCCTTTGATCAATGTTTTCAGTAAAATCCACACAGAAATATGTTTTTGAGTGGACATAAAAGGTGCCGAACCAAAAAAAAAAAAAAATTGTCAAATATCTTCAATTTCGTTACTTTGACAAGCGCTTGATTTCACCACGATGCCTCACATTTGTCATCATAAATGTCATTACAAGCTGACAGTACGACAACAGACAAACGTACATATCTCATCCCAGGGCGTCACACTGTCACAATGAACTGATGGTATGACAACAAACAAATACACAAAACGTCACTACAAACTGACTATTAAGCAACAAACAAGGGTGCTTAGTTAAGTTTTACTAAGAGTTTTACAGCACTTGCAACACAGTTAGTCATAAAATGCCTAAGATTAGAGGTGTTACTAGACAGTTTGCCATTCATTTGCTCGGATGCTCTTATTATTGTCCTGGTCTTTCCTGTTCTCACAGCTGTTCAAGTGCCCTAAGTAAGTTGTTCTTGAGCTTCCTTACTACCCATTACGCCATCTGGTGTTTAGGGCAGCAACAAAGGATCTCCAGCTCTGTCTGTTTTCGGCCATCTTAGTCAGCGTTCCCCACGAATGATTCCAGGACTTCATCCTAGCGGCTTTCACTGCCCGCATTCATACAAGTCCCAAGGGACTCTGAAGGTCCATCACACACAGAAATATGGTTTCTCTTTGTTGCTGTTTCCGTAACATATGCTTTTTACCAGTCTGGGTTGTTAGCCCTGAGCTGAACCTCCGAAACCTGGAGAGCCGGTGGATCATGCTTCGTCTGACCTCTACCCATCAACCTGTCTGGCATGGGTGGCCCTACCAGAAGCATTAGCTCCAGCCAGTGTAGCTCTTGGGGTCATTGAGGCACACAAGCTCTCTCACCACAACAAGGTAGTGATCCACTAGAGAGTGTTCTTGAGCTACCCCTGCCTATTGCTTTCTTTTTTTTTTAGTGATACCAAAATGTTCTGGGCCTTTGTGTCTGTTATAGTGTCCCAGACAAATGTCTCTTCCTAAATGTTAAAATTAGTGAGCAGCCCACTTGGTCTTCTTTCAGTACTGTGTCATTTGATTTCTTCTTTTTTTTCATGAAATTCTCAACAGTTACCTATGAAACCAAATTTCTGTGGCTTTAAAATTCTTATCACTATCTTTTGTAATTGTCAAGCATTTACAGCTGTATTTAAGGGTAGAACTGATAGCTTTTTAAAACTCTTCTTTTGGTTGTCATCGAGATATTTCTGTTTTTCAGTATTGGACTTATTTTATAGAAACAGTATCCAGTCACGGCTGTGTCTTTTGTTTTATAACCACTTGCAAAAGGTCAAGAGGTCAGCACTTACACTGGACTGCTCAGCAAAGCCTGTCATGATGACCATGATGTGGTCAGCGATGTGACAGCTGGCCTCCAGCGGCAAAGGCAGACAGGAAATGGGGGCCCCTCCCTCTGTCACCGCTGTGTGAGTCAATGAGCCAATCAGAAGCCAGGACATAAGTCGGATGTGGCCGATGCAGTCAATGAACTCTTTGGGTCTGGGGAGAGAAACAGAGAAATATACATGGAGTAGGGCACAAGTGGGCAGGAGAATTTTCATCATATATCTATGAAGAAAAAGTTTTACTTCATCTCCCCCGACCCCAGTAATTAAATGACTGAAAATAACCTAATTGTCAATAAGACCACTCCTTCTTCTTCTTCTTCTTCTTCTTCTTCTTCTTCTTCTATCCCGTGGTTGGGGCTACCGTTGGGGTACCACTGCATTGGAAAACCAGCTCTCGCCATCTATTTTTGTCCTCTGCTCTCCTCAGATTGTCACCCATCCCCCCCCCCCAAACCACCCTTTCTTATTAATTTCTTGAAAGAAGAGAAAAACAGGAACCAGTGTACAAGCATGATTGAGTATACTCAGCACAACATGAAACACTGGAAGAGCACAGGGGAAAAAATGGCAATTCTCACATTGTCTTTCTTATTTATTGTTTGACTTGCTCCACTTCTTCAATTTTCATTTATCCTGAGCGTACACCTGAGGGTATCTCTCTGTCCACTGAACAATGCATACCTAGCAGTCAACATACCACACAAACAGGGGCTTGGGTGCACAGATTTGGTAGGCTTTGAAGGAAGGTGGGTGGGAAAGAGGAGGGAGTGTGAGGGTAGGGCTCAAAGCGTTAACTTATTCAACACAAATCAATCTTCTTCAGATTCAGATCACAGGCTAGCTTTCTAACAACACACACCTACAGACGATGACTTGTCTTACCCTTGCTGCATGGCCGATGGCGGGTGGTAGAGCCAGGGCAGGTACCTGGTGATTGCCCGATTGTCCCGCCCATTGCCGCGAGTGATCTCCAGTGCCAGGTACTGTGACACGCCAGACTTGAGCTGACTGCCCAGTGTGTCCTCGTTCAGACTGGCCCCGGCAACCTTCATGTTGGCCTGTGGGAGTGGAGAGAACGAAACCGACACATTTTACACTCCCACTGACACGTGTTGCAAGCTCCACTGACATGTTCTCCACGCCCCACTGACATGACAACTGTCATTTACTTTTGAGTTAACAGAAGGCCAACAATACAATAACATTTAATTAAGAGGAAAGGAAAGAAGTACAACCTTTCAGTGCACTATCCAACCATACCTTCATATTGGTATTCAAAAATATAGAGAAGAACATTCACAAAATAACGGTCAATATGTTAATGAAAAAAAAGCACATCCACAAAATTTAATGTAATTTAGTTTTAGTAAAGAGAAGCACATCTACTGCATACGGCAATGGTCATTTAGTTATAGCAAATCATAGAGAATTGTAATATCACGATAACAGTCATTTAGTTTTGAGTAAAGAGAAGCTGAGAATGTTTTTGAGTGTTCTATGGTCTGCTGGGGTAATAATATAGTGTAAAGCGCATAGAGCTTGCTGTCGAGCGGAGTTATGCACTATACAAATGCTATTTATTATTATTATTATTATTATATAGATGAGATAAAGATTAATAACTGTGAGTAAAACGATGTTCTTCGATATGATGACAGTAATTGAGTCTTGAGAGAGAAGGAATCAATTGAAAGAAACTTAAATGGTAGGACCTACTAGTAATGCACTCCAATCATCCACTCATTTTAGCCTGACTGGTTACATACACACACACACACATAATTACACATGTACGTGCACTATGACACTTGTTTCGGTCGGGTGTGAGTACATTTACACTTACCTATTACTATAACACATTTGTGTGTGTGTGTGTGCATATGCGTGTGAAAGAGTGTGTATGTGAGTATGCGTGTGTGTGTGCGTGTGTGTGTATAAATGTGTATTTGTGCCTCTGAGGATGTGCAAGTGCCTGTCTAAATAACGTCACTCTCACAAGAAACGAGTAACTTTAATCATTTTCGCTCACCCTGCAAAGCAAAATGACACCGAGTCGTTCACATTTCTTACAATAGTAACGCCACGATTTTTTCGTTATTGCCTTAACATTAACTAACCAGCAACACATCTTTTCCTTCTTACCTTGACCTTGGAGATGGTGTGTAGATCTGCGATAAACTCGAGGCAGTCGTTGAGGTGCTGTCGCATGCACTCGGCAGCGCACGTGCTGATCAGAGAGGGAGACTGTGTGCTGTACAGGGAGCCCGCCTCCGAGCCCGACGTATTGTACAGGGACAGAGTGCCGCCCGCGTCCAGTACCACAAACTGACCATCGGAAGAAACGGGGAGGGAGGGGCGGAGTAGGGGAGTGCCAGAGCATAAGTCTAAGTTCAAATGCGGGTGTACGCGTTAAGTGTGTGTGTAAGTGTGTGTATGTGTGTGTGTGTGAGGTATGTATGTGTGTGGATGTACATGTGAGTGTGTGTGTGTGTGTGTGTGTATAAGTGTGTGTGTGTGTGTGTGTATAAGTGTGTGTGTGTGTGTGTGTGTGTGCGTGCGCGCGCGTGTGAGTGCGTATGTGTGGGCCCAAGCCTTATGAAATACAAAAGAAGAAGAAATTACAATAACAGTGGCAAGTGCCACAACTAATAGATGTGTTCAGCTCCCCTCTCAACACATTAACATTAAGTAACAGACAGGAACCTCTCAATACAGCATCCATCTCCACTAGATCTGATCTAAAAGAGTGGAAAACTTTAAAAACTCCCCATCCAACACAAATTCAAGAACATCCCATTCGGGATTCAAACCATGGCCATTACCACAAACACCCACCATGGTACCAAATAAACAAACAGATTGCCTACAAGAGCCTCACCTGCATCAGCATCAGAAGGTTCTCATCCGGAATGCTGGATTTGAACTTGATGGCTTGAACCAACTCGTAGATCACTGTGCGGGTCAAGAACATCTTATCACGCTCCTGGGATAAAAAAAACCAACAAAAAACCCCATGAGTTCAGAACATTTTATCACGTACGCCGACAAAACAAGTTAGAATATATGTGAGGAGTGCTGACAAAACGAGTTACTTCTCGCAATTCAAGAATGGACATATCGGCCATTTTCTTCAACTACTGTGTCTTTTATCATTCCATACTTACAAAATGTACAAACTCCACTTATAAAGTTGATGTTTCAATTTCCATAAGGCTAAAATATGAGAAGTAATTCATTTTGTCAGCACACTTCACAAATAGTTACTGGACTGTAATAAGAAACCCTTGAGACATACAACATCTGAGTCTAAATTTAAAAAATCTTTAAAGACACATTTAATGACATCCTTTTTAAGTCAGTAGATTCATGTTCAATACAATGTTATGTAAATGTCAATGTATCCATTTATGTATTATGTGAATTGCAGTGTATATATTATTTTATTCTCATTTCGTGACGATGTGTAATCGTGTGCGTGCGATAAGCAAGTAGATGTGTGTGTGTGTGTGTGTGTACGTGTGTGTGTGTGTGTGTGTGTGTGTGTGTGTGTGTGTGTGTGTGTGTGTGTTTGGCATACATGTGTGCGTGTTATGTGTTTGTGAGTGTGTATGCGTGTGTTTGTGTGTGTGTATATGTATATGTGTGTGTGTTTGTGTGTATATGAGTGTGTGTGTGTGAGTGTGTGTGTGTGTCGCGTGCATGAATATTTTTCTTACATGCATTTATGTAAAGCGCCTAGAGCTGTGTTTACACGGGAGTGGGCGCTATAGAAATGATCGTCATTATTATTATTATTATTATGAGTAACTGTGGCAAACTCTGTGCGGCCCCCCACACAAACCTACCCTGGTGAGAGCTCTGTTGCACAGGGAGCAGATGTCCAGCAACTGCTGCAGCTTGAAGCTACAGTTCTGAATGGCGAAGCTCAGGATCTTGGAGAAAGGTTCCAGGATTCCCTGAGAAAAAATATATGGAGTGAATTTAATGTGCCAGAGAGAAAATAATAGAGAAGAGAGAGAGATGGACAAAGTGAGAGTGAGAGAGAGAGAGAGAGAGAAAGAGAGAGAGAGAGAGAGAGAGAGAGAGAGAGAGCGAGAATGTTTATATTGTATTGTTGCTACTGATGAACAAATGCATGTAATATTTTGTGCATGTAATTTGTGCTGTAATGTGCACTGATCATTAACCAAATATAAATGAAATCTATTTTGGTGATCATTATCATTATTACAACTACAATCATTATCATTTATCACTTTGGCGATGAAAATGATCCCTTCCGGTCACCTGGTGCACTTCTGCGCCAGGCCTGAGAAGTCCGTTGCAGTCACTCTCCTGGCTGGGTGACCAGATGGGGTATTTTGTACTGCTGGCTGTGTGACAGTAAAGTGTTATTATCATTTTCAATCAACATTATTATCATCATTTTTACCATTATTATAGTCTTCGCCATCATAATTATCATTATTATTATTACCATGACTATCATAACTATTATAAATATTCCCTCGAAGAGTACATCTAACCCTCACGTAGTAAAGCTCGCAGCCTATATCTTACCCGCACGTTCCCCATGTAGTAAAGCTTGCAGCCTTTATCTTACCCGCACGTTGCACGTTCCCGATATAATAAACCTTGAAGGCTTTTTCTTACCCGCACGTTCCCGATGTAGTAGACCTTGAGTAGTGTGATGATGATCTTCAGGATGGGGCCCATGTCGCACGGGTTGGGCAACACCAGGGGGAGTCGCCGCAGGAAAGTGTCAAAGTGGGTCAAGATGGCTGTCCACATGGGAAGGGAACTCTCTAGAGAGACGCAGTTCAGGTAGGTGGCCATGTTGTTAAGCAGCAGCATGATGGAGTCTTGAGGCAGGTTCTTGCGCTCATTCAGACCCTGATCAGAGTTTTTTTAAATTGCTCATTTTCTTTCGTCATAATTTCTGTTGATTTTGTCTGAGGAAATCTCTTATTATTATGTGAAGCGTTGTGGTGAAATCAGGCGCTTGTCAAAATAATGAAATCAAAGAAACCAGCATTATTAAACCAGTATGGGAATTTTTTTTCAATTAAAAAAAAAAAAGGTTCAACACTTTTTAGGTCCATTTAGAAACATATTTCTGTGTGAATTTTAGTGAAAAAAGTTGATTAAAGACACAAAAGTGAAAATTTTCAGCCTCCAAGGACTCTCCAGTTATGGCAGTCGGCATACTTTGGCCGCTATTTTCTGGCAAATTTTACGTCTAAAAACAGGCAACCCACCACCTTCAATCCAAATATTTGACTTCTATTAAAGATAGATGGATATTTTTTTCATCAAAAACAAGACAAATGAAGAAGCTATTAGACGATACAAATACTCCCATATGCCAAAAAATTGACGAGCGCTTGATTCCCCTGCGTTGTGACACACATGTAACTGGTGCCTGTTACAATCACTTCACTATCATATCAGTTGCAATAGCTGAGCTTTTCACTTTTCCTGCAGAAGACACAAATTTGATTTCAACGTACGGAAGATGCTTAATCTCATAATATTTCCGCTGATCAGCTGGACTTGCATCTCTCAAAGCTAGGATTACCCTGACAGCAGTGTGAAAGCAGGCCACCACCTAAATGATATGGGTGTTATACATTTAGAACAAATTAACACCAAAACAGTTTAATCGAATAAACTTGGCAGACAAGATGGATTCATATGCAGGTGATTGAAATAGATCATTATTTGCTCCTGAATTATGTTCTACCATTTGTTCAATCCACCACAAAACACCAGTAAGTCTTACTTCAAGCAAGTACTGCAGTGGAGCATGAGAGGGCAGGTCACTGAAGTCTATCAGGGAGGCAGCCATTGTCTTCCAGAAATGGGGATCTGGAAAAAAACCCAATCCATATCTGAGGGACACTAAAAATACACCTATGTAAAACACAAATAATAGATTTTAAAAATCCTCAGCAAACTATACAAAACACTAGAAAAGGAAAAAAAAAACAACACAAAAAACCCACAAATCACAAAAACAGGATAGAGAAATCCATTACAAACACAATAAAATAATAAAACCAACATATCATATAGTGTTCACATAAAGGAAATAAAAAGTCCCAACCTGACAGTATAAAACGTTGCAAAAGGACGCAAAAAAATCCCTAAATATCTGAATGTAAAACATATAACACCGATGAACAATTGAAAAAAAAACCCAACTATATAAACAGCTAAAAAGAAAAGAAAGTTTAGTTTTAGTAGGAATTTTACGGCACTCAAGCACAATAAGGTCATTTTTTTTATAAGTGCAGAAGATTAGAGTTGTTACAAGAGAGTAACAAACACAAGAACGTAGAAAAAAAGAAAAGGATGATAGATGTTTGATAGGAAAGATGAAGCAAACCACACTAGAGCACCCACAAAGGATAGAAAGAGAATGTATTCTATAAAACACTTACAACGAATAGAATAAGTCGCAACACACCGTATTAACCCAATCTGTACATCGTATTTTACTATCGTACCCATGCGACATGGGGAACTCCGTGCCCCCACTTTCCAAAGAGGAAATTTACTCGTTAATCGGATCCGTACGCTTTGCACAGCAGTCTGTCAAAATGTTTTTTGAGAAATACTGAAAGTTTCAAAGAGATCATCACACTAGAAGTATTTTAAAAAGTGAAGAATACAACCCCTGGGGTACAAAATGACCCTAGGCGTATGGATAGAATTTAAAACTAAAAAAGAAAGGGGAAAACTCCCAACAAAGTACGTAAAACATTAATCAAGGACAGCAAACACTCCCGTACCTTCCATGTTGCTCTGGAAGACCATGGGGAAGATCCCGTTGGGAGCCAGCTGGTGCAGAACACAGCGGAGAAACTGACGGGCGATGCTCACACAGTTGCCTGGGATGATCACGTTACTGGGGACAAACAGACAGACACACACATAACTACAAAACACTGTTATAAACAATACTGAGCATTTTAAGAAGAGTGGGGGAAAAAACAGAAAATGATTTCAGTTTTTTAACTTTTTGTTTTTGAAGGAAAGTATTTAGATTTTTAACCATCTTGGTTAATAAAGGTTCTTTTTGGAGAAAATAAAGATGTGATAAAGACGTAATGATGTATTAGTCTGAGTAAAGAGAATCACATCAACGCCACCAGTGATTTACTTACCTCTCTGCCTGCCAGGAGTAATGGCTTCCAGAAGCAATCCTGACAAAAGAAAAGACAGAAAATTAGGATCCACAAGGGGAAGCGCACATGCCCGCGCACACACACACACAACACACACACACACACACACAAACACACAAGCATCCATAAAGATACAAACCTGAACACCCACATATGCAAACATGTCCATCTTACACACAACTTTAATTAACACACAGACACACACACATACACACACACACACACAGCATGCATACACACACACAAATACACAAACACACACACAAACACCCATAAAAATACAAACCTGAACAACCACACATCCAAACATGTCCATCTTCCACTCCTCTTTATAAAACACAAATACACACACATATCCATTCAGTTAGACCAACACAAAACACACACACACACACACACACACACACACACAAACACACACACTCGCCCACCTTGCGACACACTGCAGCATGTCCAACAACATGGGCGTGGCAAGTCCCGGCTCTCTGTGTATGAAGGTGGCCAGGGCGGTGATGCACAGGCCGATGGTGTCGTCATCGTACTGCTCCAGCACCGCATTGCACTCGCTGCACCGCTCCACCATCACGTTCTCGCCATAGCGAACAGAGGCCACCTTCTTCATGCTCTGCTGTTTGGCCAACAGTTCTGCCTTACGGGAGCGTCGGCTGGGGGGGATGGGGGGAGAAGGAGGGG